AATTTCCCTTCTGGTCGGGATGTTTTAAAACATAGGCAGATCTTGAGTTTTCACAAAAGAACAATCATTAAACACCTCGACTGCAGGTTCCAAAAGGTTTGGATTCACAGTGACCCGATGAAATCGGTTCATAATCTACCCTACTAAGGAACTGCACTAGGTTACATACATATACTTGTTCATAAATATTTTCATACATGCATACAAACCTACACATATATACATACATATACAGACCCACGATAGTGAAAAGTGTATTGAAGTGAGGTAGAGCAGCAGCAGCAGCAGTAGAGACAAGCCAGGCAAAGCAATGAACCAACCAAGCAAGCAAGCAAGCAAGCATACAAAGCATGCAAGATATGAGACCGTGGGAAAGAACATCCAAAGTAGTTCGTTTACCGCTCGGCTCCAACATCGGGCGTAGTTACCACAATCGTGTTGTATATGTAGCTCGTCACATGCTGCTGTTGCTGCCACCGACTTTTATTTTATTTTTTTTTTACTTTTTTCTTCGCTTATTTTCATATACATTTCTGATTGTGTTTTCTTTTGTCTCGTTTTCTTTCGGTTTGTTTATGTTTTTGCTATGCGTTTTAACGCATTTTCGTTTTCACACTGCGTGTCTCTGCCCTGTGTTGTAAACTTTTTTTTGTTTGTAAGCCTGGCTTTGATTGTGGTTCTCTTTCTTATTGCTTTGCTTTACTTTTAGATTTTCTTAAACCCGCTTAGCTTTTCTTCGTTTATCCTCTGTGACTTGTTTGGTTTTTTTTTATTTATTTTCTCGTTTATTTTTGTTTCATACCTTTTATGCTGCGTTAGCGTTTTTAGAGAGCTTGTAAGTTAGAGAGTATGCGACAGAGCGCCTTATACATCTCTCGAGCGTGGCTTACGCTCAGCTTCTGATCGCTCACAGAGCAACGAGTCTCGAATTTTCTTTCGATCTTGCAGTGATTTTTGAGCAAGCATTTGTTTTGTGGCTCTCTTGTCACTTCTCCACAAAAGCCGGTCTTAACAACAAACAATAGCATACGCATACCTGTCTACATGGTATTTCCGACAATTGGCTCCGTTTCGGGAATTATGCTGGCGAGCGCTATTCGCTGCTCTTCATACATTCGTATGCGCATAGTTTAGGTGCTCTACCGCTGTCCACGCAACTGGCCAGTTTCTTATGTATTTACTTTTGCCTATATGTATTTCCTTTTAACCTTAGCAGCGGTTTACCTTTGTCTTTTTATTACTTTTGGACACGTCTTTTGCTTATGCTTCCTCAGGTCTTTTACTTATTCTATTATCAACTGCTGCTAGTCTTATTTGTTTTCATTCGTTTGCCTTCGTACTTGTACTACCAAACCAAGATCAGTGTTTGTCTTGTGCGTGTGTGTGTGTTTGCCTTAGCCGCCACAGTGTTCTTCGCGACAGACATGTGTAACACAGCTGCACTTTTCGAGATTTATGCGTGAGCTGCTACAACAGCATCGTGAAGTCTTGGCACAAACTTGGATCGCAGAGGCGATGGAGACAAGGTGTCCGTGGAAGATTTAATTTATTTATCTGCTGTTTTCGTTTCGCTTTTCACCGCGTCCATCGGTGTGCGCTTTTCATGTGCCTTGCGTCTGACAGCACCAAACCCAGCTCAAGAATGTAGTTCAATGCAGCCAATATGCGCATGAATATGTGTACTTAGTTATGTATTTACATTAGGGTGTCTCACCGAAGAAATTTGTCTTTTTTTATTATATTTTCGAATTCCGCCGAAATATTTCGGGAAAATACTAAAATTTACGTGAGCTGGACCTTACACTTAGGCTTTCTATCAACAAACACAAAAGTAATTTTTCGTAAAAAGTATAAAAAAAAAAGATTTTAATTATATAATTTTTTTTCGGTTCTTTCAAATCGAAATATTTTGGCGGAAGTATTAAAATATAACAAATTTTATAATTTCAATGTGAAACAGTAGCGAATTTTTATTTTTTATTTTTTTTTTTATGGAGAGTGATGCGCCCTAATGTACAAAAGTAGATGGGTATACAAAACAACGAGTACCAGCTTTCCTAGCATACCGATGATTCAGTAGAGAGCTTAAAAATTTTAGCCACTCGCTTGCCAGTATCGCATCTATAAAATGCCAATCTACTACATAAATACTTAGGTTTTGTCGCCCAACAAAATCAATTTGCGATCAGCGACATATTTAAGCTCTTAACACTCATTTGTATGTATACATAAATATATGTATATGTGTCCGTGTGTGCCTAAGGAGTTGCTGCATTTTGACCACAATTTTCTCCCAAGTCACATCTTGGTATGCATTTTTGGCCCATATCCAATGCAATCACGTTGTAATATTCGTTTGGTGCTTTGCCATGTTGGTCGCCGGCGCTGTGATGATGAAGGGGATCGCGGGTGTCTATTGCGCTTTAGCTGGTTTGCAATTTTACTAGCTCTATTGCAGCAGTCAAGCAAAAAAAAGACCAACAACTGCGTGGACTTTGGCATTAATTTGCATAAGCATGAGTAATGCTTCAAATTTGGCTAACAAGCTATGCAGCCAGGCGCAGTGAGGGGGGGCGTCGTGCAATGTAGCGCAGCAAATGCTTTTGGGCAGTAAAAACAGGATTTTTGCGTGCATTATTTATGGCGGTTGTTTTTTTTTTCATTTTCGTCTGCAGTTATTTTTCGACTGCACCAATTCCTTTCTTATTACCGTTGCTTTGTTCAAAATTTTTCTTAATTTTTTTTCTTGTTTAATTTTTAACCAATTTTTTGTTGCATTCACTGCCCGCTGGCTAATAATGTTTAATGACGCTTTGTGTGCAAAACTTCAATAATGATTGACTTTGACTAACTGAAATGATTTACCTTTTTATGTGTTATACACATTTTTTAGTACTTTTTTATAGCATGCACATCTACATACATACCTATTTAATATTTTTTGTATGTATTTATCTTGTGTGCGTTTAGTCCAAATCGATTGGGGTCAATAAATTTTGGGAAACACACAGTGAGTGGCCATTGTGAAGGCGTGAGAACTGCCAGGGCGGACTTTTTTTTGTCGATTTGATAATTTGCATGTACTCTTCGGCTGAATGCCTAAGGATTTTACTGTTATTTATAGCTGGCAAAAAGCGCTTTTTGGGTTGGAATGCAAAATTATTACAATAATCAATAGCAAGTTTTTTTTTGCTACACAAGCGAGAAACTGAAAAATTTCACAATTTTAAATTTAGGTTTTAAAAAAAAAATAGAACGTTTTTTAAAACAGTGCAGAGCTGGCCCTACCTCTAATCACTCTCGCTTCGCCAGAGACACCGGTTGGAACCAGATTAGCTGTAGCGCCAAAAACACGCTTTGACGAAGCAAACTTTTTCAGCCACAGCCTTCGCTTGATAGATACGAAAGTAAAATCCAGCTTCTCCCCGCAAACTTTCGCCCCTACAGCTCCTCCGGGCGCAGCGGTAACACCCCTTTCAAGTATTATCGTCAGCCACCAGACTTTTACTTTTGCACATGCCATCAGCGAATCTTGAATGTAGTCTTCGTGGACCGTGGTTCCTAGAGAAATGCAGCAGCACGAGGACTACCAGCAGCTACATAGTAGGATTTCTGCTGTCTGCATACCGTCGCCTGATTCCACCTCATTTCCCTCCTCTTCTAAGAGATTGAAGCCAAATATTCGCCATCTTTCGCCGGTCCTTAGCAGCTATCTGCCTCCCGAGTCATGCCCATTTTAAACGCATGTTCTAGCTCCGTATTTGAATAAGTTTGAAATTGCGCACTCCCCTTCACGTAAACGCTGGAAACTTGTGTGATGGTTAGGCCCACAGAATCCATGGCCCTGCCGCAAGTATGGGCGGATTTATACTCGTGTGGCTACTATCCGGAGCATAGACTTTGCGTTTTTTCATCTCACAGGTTGGCCCAACTTCCAGGATGCCGTTTAGTCAGCCTATCAGGGTGTTCGGTGTTTCATTCTGAGAGACATTTTAAGACAAGCGCGTCTTACTGGGGTTATTTTACAAATCCCCTACCCCACTAGAAATAGGAGGATGCTTACTGACAATATTTTTGACACAAAAAATATTTTTTCTCAGCAAAAATTTATTTGGTTCTTTGCTGGTTTTTGCCGCTCACAGTTTTGTTTAGTTTTTAGCTGAGCTTCTGCTATAGTTTTTTGAATTATATAAGAAACTTTTTCAGGGAAAACGTATACCGAAATTTAGTCATTGACTGTTGCAAAAATATATTTTTAACACGTTTGGATTCTTTCCGATCTCCCGGTTTGCTCACATAAAAACTATGACAACCACCATCATCCTACGATTGTGAGAGAGCTGAGAGATAGAGATTCCTGATCTTTTTTGCTGACCTTTAGAGGACAATTCTAGCAACTATCTTTCAACTCAAAACAGTCTTCCAAAAGACAAAGTCTTTCATAAGACAAATGTCAATAAGTTGTTTAAACATTAAATTAAACAAATATTTATATGTATTTACTTTTTAAAACAACAAAAAATTTATAAATAAATAAAAATTTAATTAAAAATACAAAAAATAAAGCAAAAATATATATGTACATGTAAATATTTTTTACAAAATTAAATTAAATAAAAAACTGTCTTTCATTTATGTTACGAAAGAATTTTTACTATTTTAGTCAGAATTTTCTGGTTTATTTATGACGTGCCATGAAATTTTGCAGAAGCCCATACACAGATGCACCGGAATGCTTGTAAAAGCAAGAGCATGTGTTAGTTTTCCAAAAATTAAGGCTTCGGCGATCCCTTTATCTTATACGCTTTTGACAAACCCTTTACAATCTGGAAGCCTTTTTAAGAATTCCGTTTCCTCGCTACCAATGGTCTTCATTTCACAGCGATCCCATTCACTCTATTCTCTCGCTTAATCCAACAAAAAAAATGTAACCTTTGTAACGAAAATTTCTTCTGCGTTCCGAACTATGTAATCATAAGTATTTCACTCTCTCATTACAGGCTTTCAAGGCAAACATTGCGAAGATAACATCGATGACTGTCCTGGAAATTTGTGTCAGAATGGTGGCACTTGCGTCGACAGCATCAACACCTACCGTTGCGTCTGTCCACCAAATTTTACCGGAGATCTCTGTGAGGAAGATGTGGATGAATGCGCGATGAGGTGAGTTAAAGCAAATACTTACAAATATTTTCAATTATGTGCTTAGAGATGGTTTGTAAACATACATATTTGCGCTTTGGCACATACTAAATAACGCCTTTTTCCCCCTAAAACACCCGTTTTCTCCACAGACCATCCGTTTGTCAGAATGGCGCTACTTGCACCAATACGCACGGCAACTATTCCTGCATATGTGTCAACGGTTGGGAAGGTAGAGATTGCAGCGACAATGTCGATGATTGCGTAGCTGCAGCCTGCTTCTATGGCGCCACATGCATAGATGGCGTCGGCTCGTTCTATTGTCGTTGCACACCTGGCAAAACTGGTCTCCTCTGTCATTTGGATGATGCTTGCACCTCGAATCCTTGTCATGCGGACGCTATTTGCGACACTAGTCCTATAAATGGCTCCTACACTTGTTCCTGTGCAACTGGCTACAAAGGCGTGGATTGTTCCGAGGACATCGACGAATGTGATCAGGGTTCACCTTGCGAGCACAATGGAATTTGTGTGAATACACCCGGCTCGTTTATGTGTAATTGCTCACAAGGCTTCACGGGTCCACGCTGTGAGACGAATATCAACGAGTGCGAATCGCATCCGTGTCAGAATGAGGGTAGCTGCTTGGATGACCCAGGCACCTTTCGTTGCGTTTGTATGCCCGGCTTTACTGGCACACAGTGCGAAATCGATATTGATGAGTGTCAGTCGAACCCATGCTTGAACGGCGGCACCTGTCACGATATGATTAACGGTTTTAAATGTTCGTGTGCGCTGGGGTTTGCGGGTACGCGTTGTCAAATCAATATAGACGATTGCCAGTCGCAGCCTTGTCGAAATAATGGCATATGTCACGACTCTATAGCCGGTTATACGTGTGAATGTCCGCCTGGTTATACGGGCACCTCCTGTGAGATCAACATCAACGATTGTGACTCGAATCCCTGTCATCGCGGCAAATGCATCGATGGTGACAACTCATTCAAATGTGTCTGCGATCCTGGTTTCACCGGCTACCTCTGCCAGACGCAAATCAACGAATGTGAGTCGAATCCGTGTCAGTTTGGTGGCCACTGCATTGATCGCGTCGGTTCTTACCTCTGCAAATGTCTACCCGGTACTTCGGGCAAGAATTGTGAAATTAATGTGAATGAGTGTCACAGCAACCCGTGCAACAATGGCGCCACGTGCATTGACGGCATCAACAAGTACACTTGCGAATGCGTGCCTGGCTTTACGGGACTACATTGCGAGATCAACATCAATGAGTGCGCCTCCAATCCATGCGCCAACAACGGCGTCTGCATGGACATGGTGAATGGTTATAAATGCGAATGTCCGCGTGGTTTTTACGACGCACGCTGCCTGAGTGATGTGGATGAGTGCGCCTCGAATCCATGCATCAATGGCGGTCGTTGTGAGGATGGTATCAACGAGTTCATTTGTCACTGCCCACCTGGCTATGGTGGCAAACGGTGCGAGATCGATATCGACGAGTGCAGTTCGAATCCTTGCCAACACGGTGGCATTTGCATCGACCAACTGAACTCCTTTCAATGCCAGTGCATGCCCGGCTACACAGGCTACCGCTGCGAAACGAACATTGACGATTGCATTATGAATCCCTGTGTGAATGGCGGCTCCTGCATTGATTTGGTAAATGGTTATAAGTGTGTTTGTAAAGTACCGTTTACGGGCAGAGACTGTGAATCGAAAATGGATCCGTGTTCAACCCATCGTTGCCGCAATGACGCGAAATGCACGCCTTCGCCTAACTTCCTGGACTTTTCCTGCTCTTGCAAGCTCGGCTACACTGGCCGCTATTGTGACGAAGATATCGACGAGTGTGCGCTGTCATCGCCTTGCCGTAATGGTGCGACCTGTCTCAATGTACCCGGCACCTACAAATGTCTATGCGCGAAAGGCTACGAGGGACGTGATTGCGCTATCAACACCGACGATTGCGCTTCGTTCCCATGTCAGAATGGTGGCACGTGTTTGGACGGCATCGGCGACTATACGTGCCTTTGCGTTGACGGATTCGATGGGAAACACTGCGAAACGGACATCAACGAATGCCTCAGCATGCCTTGTCAGAATGGTGCGACCTGTCGGCAGTATGTCAACTCGTATACATGTACGTGTCAGCTTGGCTTTTCGGGCATCAACTGTCAGACCAACGACGAAGACTGCACCGAAAGTTCCTGCATGAATGGCGGTACTTGCATAGACGGTATCAACAGCTACAACTGTTCTTGTCTGCCCATTTACACCGGCTCCAATTGTCAATACAAGATCAATAAGTGCGACTCGCAGCCCTGCCAAAATGGCGCCACGTGTCACGAAAGTGGCGATGAGTACACGTGTCACTGTCCACACGGCTACACGGGAAAACAGTGCACGGAGTATGTGGACTGGTGTTCGCAGTCGCCCTGCGAGAATGGAGCCACTTGTTCACAGATTAAGAACCAGTATAATTGCAAGTGTGCTGCCGGTTGGACAGGCAAGCTCTGCGATGTGGAGATGGTTTCTTGTGAAGTGGCTGCGATGCGCAAACAAGTCGGTCTCAAACAACTCTGCAACAACGGCACCTGCAAGGAGATGGGCAACATGCATTTGTGTCAATGCAAGCAGGGCTATACCGGCAGCTATTGTCAGACGGATATCAATGAGTGTGAGTCACAGCCTTGTCAGAATGGCGGCACTTGTTTGGATCGCGTGGGCGAATATAAGTGTATGTGCCCGAAGGGGTTCCAGGGGCAGAACTGCGAATTGAACATAGACGATTGCTCGCCGAACCCGTGCCAGAATGGCGGCACATGCCACGATTTGGTGCAATCCTTCAGCTGCTCATGTCCACCTGGCACATTGGGCATAATTTGCGAAATCAACCAGGAGGATTGCGTACCAGGCGCTTGTCACAACAACGGTACTTGCATCGATCGTGTGGGTGGCTTCGAGTGCGCCTGTCCAGCAGGTTTTGTGGGTTCACGTTGTGAGGGAGACATCAATGAATGCCTGTCTAATCCCTGCTCGAATGCCGGCACTTTGGACTGCGTGCAACTGGTAAACAATTACCATTGCAACTGCAAGCCCGGCTACATGGGACGACACTGCGAAATTAAGGTAGACTTCTGCGCTAATTCGCCATGTCAAAATGGCGGTCTTTGCTCTACGAAACAGTCTGGTCATCATTGCGTTTGTCCGGTTGGTTTCTACGGCAAAAATTGTGAGTTCTCCGGTAACGACTGTGATTCGAATCCCTGCCAGTCGGGTAACTGCGTAGTGGATATGATGCGCGGCTACCGCTGTGAGTGTCCGCCTGGCACCGAAGGCATGCAATGTGAAATCGATACGATGGACGAATGCGCTTCGAATCCATGCTTGCATGGCGCTGCATGCGAAAATCTACTGGGTGACTATGTCTGCTTCTGCCCCAGTAAAAGGCCGGGCAAACGATGTGAGATTTACGATGCCAACTACCCCGGCTGGGCATCGGACAACAGCCGTGGGCCGCTCAATAAATACACGAAGGATCTGGAATACCAACGCGAAATGTGTATCAAGCGCGGCTGCGAACAGAAGAAGGGCAATCACAGGTGTGACCAGGACTGCAACACGTATGCGTGCAACTTTGACGGCAACGACTGCTCATTGGGCATCAACCCTTGGGTGAATTGCACTGCGAATATAGAGTGCTGGCGCGTGTTCATGGATGGCCAGTGCAATGAGGAGTGCAACAATGCTGCTTGTTTGTTCGATGGTCGTGATTGCGCCAAGAAACTACAACCATGTAATCCGACTTATGAAGCCTACTGTCAGAAACATTATGCGGATGGTCATTGTGATTATGGCTGCAATAATGCTGAGTGCAACTGGGATGGCTTAGACTGTGAAAATACACTCGAGCAACCGAATTTGGCTGATGGCGCTATATCTGTGGTGATGCTGATGGACACCAAAACTTTCCGCGAAAAGCAGGTGGAATTCTTACGTGAAATGGGTCATGTACTCCGCACTACGGTGCGCATCAAGAAGGACTCCATGGGCAATGACATGATCTTCACCTGGAAAGGCACTTCGCAATTGACTGAACTGCAAAACTCGGACTTCGGACGCAAGCACAGAATACTAACCAGTGAGCGCAATGATCAAACGGGCATACAAATATACCTGGAAATCGATAATCGGAAGTGCATCGACTGTTTCAATCGCGCCGCCGAAGCTGCCGAGTTCCTGGCGGCTTCTGCATCCAAATACACGCTCTCGCCAAAGTTCAACATCTACAGCGTGCGTGGCGTACAAAACCCCGGCGAAGATGTAGAAGAACGTCCCAGCAACGTAAAATACGTACTCATCGGCATCAGCATTGTGGTATTCGCATTCCTCGGTGTACTTGTGACTACGCAACGTAAGCGCGCGCATGGCATCACGTGGTTCCCAGAAAATTTCCGTACCACAACCGCTACACCGGTTAATCATCAGCGACGGCGACGTGACACTGGCCAGGAGATGCGCAATTTAAACAAGAATCCTTCAATTGCTTGCATGAGCAACGATGTCAACATGAACTCCGGTCACATGGGCCACGCACCGCAATGGTCGGACGATGAGTCCGAATTGCCGCCACAGAAGCGCATGCGCAACGATCTCGGCGGGTACGCCAGTGATCACACGATGGTAACCGACTATGAAGAAGCTGATCCACGCGTTTGGTCGCAGGCGCACCTCGAAGTAGCCGATGTGCGTTCGTCAATTATGACGCCGCCCGCGCACCAGGATGGGAAACACGATGTGGATGTGCGCGGACCGTGCGGCATGACACCACTCATGGTAGCGGCTGTTCGCGGTGGAGGCATGGATACTGGCGAAGACATTGAAAACACTGAGGATCAAACGGCACAGGTGATTTCGGATTTGTTGGCGCAGGGTGCTGAACTTAACGCCACCATGGACAAAACTGGCGAAACTTCACTGCACCTGGCAGCGCGTTATGCGCGCGCTGATGCTGCCAAACGTTTACTGGACGCTGGTGCCGACGCCAACTGTCAAGATAACACCGGTCGTACACCACTGCATGCCGCTGTGGCCGCCGATGCAATGGGCGTTTTCCAGATACTGCTGCGAAACCGCGCTACCAATTTGAATGCGCGTATGCATGATGGCACCACACCGCTAATACTCGCCGCACGCCTAGCCATTGAAGGAATGGTTGAAGATCTAATAACTGCTGATGCTGATATCAATGCTGCCGACAACTCGGGTAAGACCGCGCTCCATTGGGCAGCCGCTGTTAATAATACCGAAGCCGTGAATATACTACTCATGCATCATGCCAATCGTGACGCCCAGGACGACAAGGATGAGACACCACTATTTCTAGCAGCGCGCGAGGGCTCCTATGAAGCGTGCAAAGCGCTGCTCGACAACTTTGCCAATCGCGAAATCACCGATCACATGGACCGTTTGCCACGCGATGTGGCCTCCGAGCGCTTGCACCATGACATCGTGCGCCTGCTCGATGAACATGTGCCGCGCTCACCGCAAATGATGGCGCTGACGCCACAGACCATGATAGGCTCGCCACCACCTGGCAGCCAAGCACAGATCATCTCTCAGCCCACTGTTATTTCATCATCAAAACAGACAGCACAATCTGCGAAATCAAAAGCGGCGAAAAAGGCAAAGCTATTGGAGGGCAGCCCGGACAATTTGCTCGACGGTGGCAGTCTGCGACGCAAACCGGGTTCAAAAAAGGGGGCAGGGGGCTCGGTGTCAAAAAAGGGCGGACAAAACGGCCTTACGGCAGCACAGCTGCTGAATGGCTTGGGTGGTGGGCTGACAACGCACGGCCAGGGACTGGAGGGAGTGGACCAGCAGCAGCTGTTGGATGCCGGTCTCAGTGCGGTGGACTCGCCACCACTGACGGGGCTAACAAGTCAGCCGAGCCCGTACGACACGTCGTCACTCTATTCCAACGCGATGGCGGCACCAACACACCACCACAACGATCTGTTAGGCAACAGCAACGGCGCGAAACAACCACCCAGCTATGAAGACTGCATAAAGGTAAGACCTAAATCGAAAGCCATTAGAATCACTGCAGAAAATGCAATTTATCTATTTCTCCACACACAGAATGCGCAAACAATGCAGAGCCTAGTGCAGCAACAGCAGCAAAATAATATGGATTTAATCAAAATGGAGAATTACGTTTACTCGCGTGGTTCGCCCTTTCATCAGGAAATGATCGGCCAGAAAGGCAACAATCAGCAAAGCATGAATTCGCTTTGCGGCGGTGGAGGCGGAGGTGGCAATCTCGGTCACAATCTGCCCGGCAACATGGCCGGTCATGAGCAAGGGCTAAGTCCGCCCTATTCCAATCAATCGCCACCGCATTCCGTGCAGAGCAGCATGGCGCTTTCGCCGCACGCTTATTTGGGTGAGTGGAACAAAACGTTGCGATATACGCGAAAAAATACTTTTTATTTAATATGCTCATTTGTTTACCACAGGTTCACCATCGCCCGTCAAATCACATCCCAGCCTACCCACCTCACCCACACACATGCAGGCGCTGCGCCATGCGACCCATCAGAAACAATTTGGTAGCAATGTGAATTCGCTGCTGGGTGGCGCTGCCAACAACAACAACAACAGCAACTCTACAAATGGCCCACAGAGTAACGCGTCGATGAATTCGCCGCAGAGCATGAGTTTTCAATCGCCCAGCAGTCAGAGTTTGTCGCAACAGAGTTCACCGGTGAGTGTGGGCATTGTATCGCCGACGGGTAGTGATGGCATGATGATGGCGCCACAGCAAACCCAGCAGCAGCAACAGCAACAACAACAACAGCAGCAGCAGCAGCAACAACAACAGCAACAGCTGCAGCAACAACAACAACAGCAGCAGCAGCAGCAACAGAATTCGAAAAGCAGTGCAATAATGCAAACAATGCAACAACACCAACAACAGCTGGCGAGCCTCGATTTCGCATCGGCCGGCTTGGATTTGAATGGATTTTGTGGATCGCCAGGTAAGTCAATAAGCGTAGCGATGCGAGAGTTGAGATATTATAAAATCGTTGGAGAGTAGTGTTAAATTAGGAAAATAATTAATTTGAGTTTAAAGGATGGTATTTACTCTCTTCTAATTTTTTTATAATTAAATTTCATTTCCCCTTTTTTCTCTCTCATACATTGTCTGCAGATTCCTTTCATTCCGGCCAAATGAATCCACCCTCGATACAGAGTACAATGTCAGGTTCCTCGCCCGCCACCAATATGCTCTCGCCATCCTCCCAACACAATCAGGCCTTCTATCAGTATCTGACACCGACCAGTCAGCACTCTGGCGGCCATACCCCCCAACATCTGGTGCAAACGCTCGACAGCTATCCCACACCATCACCCGAATCGCCGGGTCACTGGTCGAGTTCGTCGCCACGTTCCACATCGGACTGGTCCGAGGGTGTACAATCGCCGGCGGCCAATAATCTTTACATGTCCGGTGGACATCAGGCCAACAAGGGTTCAGAGGCGATTTATATTTGACAATAAGCACAGGTGGCAGTGGTAGATTGTTGTGGTGAAGCTGCTGTGCAGGGACGTTCCGAACGCGTCAGCGTAAATGTTGTGTTATGTAAACAGTTATAGTATCTACAAAACTATATATATAAATATACAAATGAATATTTTTACTAGCAAGTAGTTTGTACAAAAGATCAAAAAAAAAAAAAATACAAACCGATAAGGATCGATTATAAGCTCGTACGAGTGACGAAAGCGCGCGTGTAAAATATGAAGAAAAAATTAATAATGAAAATATCAAATCGAGCAGAGAACGAACGAACTGAAAGCAAATGCGGCGTCGAAGGATGGGTGCTTCGTGAACGCTTTCCATATATGTACATTAATTACACTGCATCACTCCCCATACAAAAAAAAAATCGGTACTATTTTTCCATTGGAATTATAAAATGTATTATATTTTAAGACATCCACCAAAATATTTCGAAAAAATATTAAGATTTAAGTGAGCGGGACCAATTTCAAAATACCTCCAAAATGGATTTTTTTATGAATAAAAATAGTTTCTTAAATCTTTTTTTTTGAAAAAAAAACCCCTCAAATGACGAAACGGTTTAAGCTTAAAAAATTTGCATAAAAATATTTTTAAAAAATTAAAGCAAAATTTGAACAGAAACGTAATAATGAGATTTTTGATGCTATTGTTTTACTTTTTTAAAAGATTGGTATAAGAAAAACTTCAATAACTGAGCCTAAACTCTTCTGATTTAGACTTAAGAGGTGTCGGTGGAGAGGTATTTTCTCACCCTTTTTATTTCTTTGCTAATAAACTCATTCAAAGGATGAAAGAGAAAGGTAGGATGAACGAACGTCATTCAAAGTTGAAATAAGATGTGTTGGTATTTGNCGGATAAATACCGTTTTGGTTGACACGCATTAGCTTGACACCCGGCTGCATGGAGACTTAGATGCTTCCTTTTTTTAAAAAAAAGGAAGTCAGCCATATTTTTTAAGTATGCATTTTTTTTTTACAAAATATACATAGATACATACACAGATAAACATAAATAAAGCGTGAATTATTGTAATAGTTGAGGTGCCTATTGTAAATTATTGTTTACTATTTTTTTTAATTGCCACCACAAACGCTTTACTTATAAAGTGCGAGCAGGACCTAGCGAACGAACTTTATTTTTAAATTCTACATAAATTCACGTACATATATATTTTAAATATAAATTATACATACACACATACACATAGCTTACAAGTAAATATTTACATGCATAAATAAATAACAATAATGAACAATACATACAAACATACATACATATATATAAAAATCAGCTGCAAAAAAGAAACTCACAATCGAATCTCCTACCAGAGTAGTAAAAAAAATAAATACATAAATTTATAGAAAATAGTATACTTTAAATATACGCGAATGCAAAAAAAATCGAATCATTGTTAAACTATTGCGCGCACTTTACATCGTGGCGAATTATGTTACAAAAAAAAATTGAGAAAAATTTTTGCTTGCGCATCGAACTGGGGAATATAGATTTTGTTTGTCAAATAAATAAAATATGTACTGGCATGCAAGTGGTATCCATATATTGCATTTTGTAGAATAGAGACTAATAGCCAAATTTCTCCACTTGGCACTGAAATGGTAAAAAATGTACCAATTATAAACGGGCATCGGGAAATGAACGTCGAGATTGATTTACGCTGGGCATTAAATGACAAAAAATTATATGGGTCATTCCATGCAAATTTCGCTAATTCAAAGTTTAATAGAAATCAGACATTACAGCCATTAAGAATCTCTATTTCCACATGAATTGCTTTTGTTAGAACTTTTTTTCATTTCAGTGCTTAATGAAAACTTTTTATAATTTTGCAATAATTTACTCAAAGTATAATAGTACGTTTGCACTAGAGTCAAATTTCGCAATGTCGTTTCTAATTCAAATTGAAACTGCTTACACGTTTATAACATTGATTCCGATTTAAACATGAAAGTAGTTAAACAGTGAAAAAAATTTACGCAGCGTGTGAACACCATACAAAAATCAATTGGTAACAAACATAAAAAAAAACGGTCAAATCAAAGAAACCCTGTTGCCGAAGTTTCAGACTTCTCTCAGTCCAAAAACGGACGACTTCTTGGCTGATGTTGTACAGTCGAGCAGTAAGCTTGAGCTTTGTTTTTCAATAAATGCTTTAAATTGTTTTATGGAAAATAAAATCTATTGTTTTTAGCAATTACGTATTTTGGTTTTTTATTATTTAGTATTATTTCTCATTCCGGCTTACAAAGCGTTCACAATAAGAGCAACAAATTAATTAAAACTTGTATGGCAATTTCAGCAGCGCAATTAGGGGCTCATGAAAACATACTATAGAGAATTTTGAATTGTGATAAGGCATTCGGAAAACCATATCGCAAAAGCTACTGAAATAAAAGTTTCTTCGACAAACAAAATCTATGTACCTCAGCCAAACGATTATCATTTACTGAATGCTTAAGTAATTGTTATTGATATTATTATAAAATTTTCAGTTGTTTAAAATTGCATACTTATTGAAATTTATGAGAGATAAAATTATGTAGTTTAGCAAGCAATTGGAAAACGAAATCGATGAGAACAGAAGGGCATGCAACAAACTGAAGACATACTAGGCTTATTTAAAGTATTTTTTTTTTTTTTTTTAGTGTAAAAATAAAACAGAATATTAAAAAAATTTAATTGCGTGCTTCACTTAATTTAAATACGTTAAATTGTGTTATGAAAAAAAGAACTTTTTACCAACGCGTAGCAAGTATTCGAAACATTAGCCTTAAGTGCGCTGAAAACTCTTCCAGTAATGTTAGGTATTGCAAATTTGTTGTTGAAAACAAATTAGTTAATATTTTTTTTATTTTTACAACTAGCGCGAAAGTAAATGAATATTAAGTAATTAAAAAAGAAGTTAGGTAAAAAAATGTACGAAATATAAATAAAATTAATTTCGCTACTCGAAAAGTGCTTATAACGTATGCAAATCGCTAGCAAGTAACTGTAAAAAGTATCTCATGTCTATGACTTAAGCATAACTGTTAAGTTTAGTCGTAAGTTGCCTAAGAAAGATAATCTTTTTTTTTTATTAGTTAAAAACAGCACATCATAAATATTTATGAAAAAAATTTAAAAGAATTTCAATTGTATATTAAAAAAAAAAGTAATTAATTTCAAATATAACTTTAGCAAATATTAATTACAATACTGTAATTGAAAGAAGAAATTTACATAGATTTTAGTTGATTTTTTATGGATACTCTAAGAATTCAATTTTTGTATTTTTACGCGATATTTATGAAGTTTGTAGCTGTAAACTGTAGTAAGTTGCGATAAATTCACTTTGATTAAGTTTTTTTAAGATTATTCAATACAAAATTTTTTTTTATCTTTTAATGTGAAAAACTTCTGCAAATAAAATTCGCTGCAAAAGACAACAAGCATAAAAGACATAATATTATTTAAAATTAATCAATGTGCTCGTTTAGCAATTAAATAGTAGTTAATTTTTTTTTATATACATACATACATAAAATACTGTCAGAAGTGCTGTTCGAATGTAAACCAATTGTTTTGCATTTTTAGCGCCACCAACTATATTTGATGTGAAATAAAAAGAATATATTTTTAATTTTATGTTACTTGAATTGACTCTTGTTGCCGCAAAACTTTGCGAAAAAAGCTTTAATTTAGTTATTTTCAGTTTTTACAATTCTTTCACATTAACTGATTTACTGATTTCCAAAAAAAAAAATTTATATAAAAAAATCGTTTCTTTTTTATAAATGTCTAAATTTTTTGTTCATAATGATTAATTGATTAAATTTTTTTAACCGTGTCTCTGTTTACTGTTTTTAATTTCTTCAACTTTGTTTCCTTTCGTGGCATCCTTTTATTTTGTTTCATGTTTTAAAAGCTAATGAATTTAATATACATAAAATCATGTAAAATAACACTTTGCAAAAATACCTTTTAAGTTTTTCGTAGCAATAGCCGTAATGTATTAAGTAATTAAGCGAAAATCTTTAAAAATACATTAATAAAACATTACATATTTTTATAAATTAAATCTTAATGTTGTTTGAATACATACATATTTCTATCATCGAGCGTAGTGAAAATTGTGTTTAGGGGGCCATAGCAATGAAAAACATTTCCATTTCACTAAAATCTTTCAAGGGTTTAAACTCATATTCATAGTATGGTCCTCGTTCCCACGACTGTCGAGTCTACGTATGTAGATAGATAGATAGATACATAGATAGATTGAAACCAAGCGATCTATTGTGCCCTCAACCACTTACAGTACAGTACAGGCCTATGTAGGTACCTCTCCCGTCTTCTCGCAACCCCCTCGCATTCCGGAAGCAGGTGCAACGGAGTCTCCTCAGTCACGTCGCAGAAACGACATTAGTCGTTCGACCAGATCTCTAGCTTGTGCAGGTGACCTCTTAGTCTGCAGTGACCCGTCAGAAAAACCTGTTATTATCCTTACCCGATCTTTGGGAAGGTTTATTATTGCCCTGTACCATATGTACATAAGTATATCTGGTCAAGGACTATCACTCCAACATCACTCTCCAAAAACTCTTTGGGGAATTTGTATGCTGTTATAACAACAACAACGATGGATTCATCAATAGCCCCGATTACTGTATGTATAGTTTAGAAATTTTAATTTTTTCGCTTTTTGCGATCCCGGGATTTTCGAGATGTCGTTATCACAATCCCGGGATCCCGTCTGTATTTTTTAAGCTGTCCTACCATAAAATAAATAATAAATAAATGGGTTTGAAACCTACTTCTTTATTTAAAGAGGCGTTTTTATTTTTTTTCTCTGACGTCAGGTTATATTTTAAAGGACTTTGTAATTTCAAAGAAATGAGTAATTCCAAAAATTTTTCAAAAACTCAATGCAATGTAGAATACAAAAAATGGGTACCAAATTAAAGAGGAACTTTTTAGAATTTAAAATAATTAAATTTTTTTGGATTCACAAGAACGAATAGGTAATTTTTTTAGCTGATAAAGTTAGAAAGACGAAATTCGAGGATATTATCGAGTTTATATACAAACAAAAGCAACTTTGAACAATTCCTTTTTTCTACTCTCAATTTTATATGATTTTAAAATGTTGGAAAACTTAAAAAAAAAATCATGGCCGACGAATTGAGAGAACGGTTTTACATTACTATGCTTTATCATGCTTGAAA